GGAATGTGTAGAAGAGGGGGCCTGCGAGGAAGAGTCGGCGATAGCCCTTCACTCAGTCTCTCAGAACGCGAGGTTAGGGAGAGGGACTCCGCGGAGTGGAGGCAAGGCCTCCCTTAGGAGCATGGATACTAAGAATGCCTCTTTTCTTCTGTACTTGGGCAGCAGCGGAAAGTTGGCTGACCCCAGAAGAGGGAAAGCGCGGCGTTTCTGACCAGCGCAGAGCGTAGATGAGGTGCTGTGGATCTACACGCGCAGACAGCACACCTCCCGGGGAGACCAAGTCGTTCCACACACAGCCACAGAGAGGACAGTGTCCCCGCTCCTGGGGGGCAGGTTGTTCTGGCCAGTGGGGTGGCATGGGCCCTACTCGAGCAATCCCAGCAGCCTCGCCCAACCCTCGTGGCGCTGGGGCTCCTGCCTGGGATGATGCGCTCCCTGCAGCAGCCTCCTGCAGCCTGATCCCAGGATGGAAGCCACGGGTAGCGCTAGACCCAGCCAGCACAGAGAAAGGAGGGAGCGAGCCCTGGGCCCTGAGGCTTTGGGGCTGTTTGTCACGTGGCACTATAGCCTAGCAAAAGCTGACTAAGGCAACGCTGGAAGCACCCAGGGGTAAATGTTGTACACAACTTTTTTCCAGGAGTGCTTGTTCTTTAAGGAAGTGGTTAAACCTATTTTTCACGACATGTCCTCAAAACTGCTCTTCCTCTTTTCAGTCAATCCTCATCTTGCTCATTTTGGAAAATAGTGCAAAAATTCCATCTGATATGAACAAAAATTTAGAAGAATATTCCAGCTGTCAGTTACCTTTGGCAACACTTCCTTTTCTCATTCAATGCCTAGAAATACTGTGAGTGCTATTTATATTCAAATATTTCTCATGTTAATAATGATCAGTATTTGTGAAACATCACTCTGATCATTAGTAACTAATGTTAACTACACTGGTTTTTAACTTTTGTACTCGTATATGTGTGCAGTGTGAAGGGATTTCATTACACACGGCGCGCCAGCATACACGCACGCCACACATCTTAATTTCTTTTCTTCCCCTCTGCTCTTCTCCCTCTCTCCTCCCTCCGTCTCTTTATCCCCTTCCCATGAGGAGAGATCTCCCGACTTCCTATTTTCTATCTTTTATTTTGCTCGTTGTTCACATTATAGGTTTGTGCATCTGATTTATTTCACTTAACATTATGATCTCCAAGTGCATCCATTTTCCTACAAACGCCTCAAGCTCACCGTCCCGTGGCAGAGTTGTGTTCCACTGCGAAATAGCTGGGTCAAGCAGAACTTCTAGCGCCAGTGTTTCCAGGAATCTCCACACTGATTTCCCCAGTGGTTGCACCAGTCTACGCTCCCACCAACAGTGGAGAAGGGTTATTTTTTCCACAGACCCACCAGCATTGGTTATTATTGGATTTTTTGATGATGGTCATTCTTTCTGGGGTGGGTGAGATGGAATCTCAGTGTTAGTTTAATCTGAAAGAAAGAAGTTTAAGTCTTAAATCTTTATATAACAGAAAACAAATTCTAAATTTCAGTATTTATAAGTATCTTTGTTACTAATAGGAAACAAAAGACCAATAGGGTGTTCATAAGATATTTCCAAATATACTCTGTTGAGATAAGCATCTGTAAGGAAATGGGGTGAGATGAGGAGTTTAAAAAAGGGAAAGGAGACCCTCAAGCTTCCTGCCAGTGAGAGCCAACTTGAGGCGGGTATGTATCCATTCCTTACAACGCTTCCACTCTCTCTTTTTTTTTTTGTACCAGGACTCAAACTCAGGACCTTGCACTTGCCAGGCAGGCGCTGTGCCCCTGAGCTATATCCCTGGCCCAGCACTTCCATTCTAATGAGTCAGGCTACAGCGTTACTTTTAAATCTACTATTTATCATACTCTGGAAATTACACACTTTGCAACTCTTTAACAGGATTACAATTTTTAGAAGTAAATTTAAAGTGAATGAGGAGTACAGAAGTTTTTCTAATTTTTGTCAGAGAGCCGTTTGAGGGCCACAGATCCAAGGTGTTCCTGTCGGCACCCAAGGGACTGACCCTGAGCCCTCCCAGGGACCCATCCGTGACCTCGACTCTGGCTTCAGCCCTGTGGACAGGCGAATGCACTGAGGGGCGGGAAGGAGCCTGTGGAGTTGCGGGCAGCCGGGAGGCTGGCTCTGCGCCCCCACCTAGCTGCCTCCCCTCTGCAGGAGCCCCGCCCTCCTTGCTCAGTGAGCAGAGCTGTGTAGAGCCTCGGGCCCTCCCCGTCTCCGAAGTCCGGCTGTGTGGGCCTTCCGGTCACGTGGGAGGCTCTCCCCTCCACTGGTTTGGGCAAAGCCGTCCCTGACTTGGTGTGAAGTCAGCCCTGCTCCCAGCAAGTCGAAGGGACTCCAGAGCCTTGTCAGTCTCACCTTCTCCCCAAACCCTTTGGGTCTCAGTCCAAATAGCGAGGAACCTACTGGTTAAGTTGGGGACGTATTTGCACTTTAATACGACTGTCCCGCCGGGGACAAGGCCCGCCCCTCCGCCGTCCTGTGTATCCCTCACCAGCGGCCAAGGCTGGAGGTTCTGCTCCCCGAGCTGCACGCATTTGTCTTTGGTTTCTCTTTTTCTCAGGGCTGGGTGCCCGGTAGGCGAAGCCGTCTACTGAGGAGCTACAACCCGTGCATTTTTATTACGTTTATTCTTGGCTTCTTTTTCCCAGTATTTAAGTTTCTTTATTGGCTTTTTCCTTTCTTGATTTATTAAATTAAATTAAGTAGGTGAGGTTTCTAATATCCAGTTGCCCTTGCCTTTCTGCAGTAGATGCTTTCTTCTGAGGCTGTCATAGTCCTTGAGGAGACAAACAGCTTGATTCATAAGGACTGTATCTAGTAGTCCTGGCTTTACCCTCGCAGTGATTTGGTCTTCTTTGTGCGTTATTTTGTCAGCTTTGAGAATTAAAGTTGTACACATTTATAAAACATATGGGCAAATGCTTAACCTTTTTCTATGCTTTTAGATCAAGTAAAACATGGGAATTTTGTGTCATATTAGTGTTTGAAAATGTTCACCCCCACACCATCTAGTGATCTTTGTTCAGACATAATATTTCTGCACTGTTTCAGTGTTTAATACTTTTAGTTCATTTAGATGTTTATTATTTCTTAAGTCAGGAAGCCCATTTGTACATTCCTTAAAAATCATCTTCATGGAGACTTAAAAGCTGTTAGCATATCATTATCCTTTATTATAACTTGATCTCTCCTTTATTATTAATCTTGCATATCTGGGTTTTATCTATATTAAATAGGTCTAGCTATTGATTTATAT